GGGGCAGTGAAAAATGACACTATTATTTGAGGTAGTGGAGATGCCAAAGCTCTTTGGGCAGATTGATATTTTCAGATAGGATTTTGTCTCAAGCCTCGCTGCCACTTGATGTGTCATACCACACCCAAGACCATCAACCACTCAATCTACTTTGGCCTTAGAACTGAACCTGGGCCTGCCCCTATGGGCTTCCATAACAGTTGCCTTGAGACAAACTTTGACTGTGGTGTTCTGTGGCACCTTAACAATTAGCCCTTTTATGAGTTTGGTATGCCATACTCCTCAAACTTCTCACCAACGTAAGGGAGGGGTGTGTGTGTGTGTGTTTGTGGTAGGGGGGTGGGGGGAGCTGGTCAACCAAAACAAACATACTGTACCTTTACTCTCCCCAGATCTCTACATTCCTTACATCTCGTGACGAAAATGGCGACTGAGTAGTATCGTTCACACTGTACAGGAACTTCTTCGTTAGAATTAGTCGCCATGCCTGTTCAAGCCTATAACATTCCATTAGTATTACCGAGTCTACGAAGAGAAGAATCGATTAACCAAATAGTGGACTCGTTGGAATATTTAGAGAGGGTGTCTAAAGATATATTCACCCGAATCAGCAATCGAGTTGCGGAAAACAAGAAACGGTTGGAGGCTATAAATTATCGCGCTGATTTAGCACAGGCCAGAATCGATAAAATCAAAGGGATCAAGAAAGCTACAAGAGTGTTCTCGAGCGCGAAGTACCCAGCCCCGGAGAAACTTGAGCCTTACGAAACGCTGTATTCTGAAGAAAATGAACTGTGCGAGATAAAACGTCAAACTTACAACCTGAATTCGAAGTTTACCCCAGTTGATGAACGAACATTAAAGGATAAACTGCAGTTCTACAACGTGCACTTGAATGTTAAGAAGAGACAAGACGAAATGAAAGGGGAAGGACTGGGTTCCCTTCCGAGGAATCTTCATTCCGTCAGTTCGTTGTTGCTTTTCAATACCACAGAAAATCCATACAAGAAGTATGTCATGTTAGATCCGCTTGCAGGGGCAGTTACTAAAACACGAGCCAACATTGAAGAAGAGGAGGAAGACATCGGAGCAGCACCTATTTCCATCACTCAAGGAGAAGCGCTCGACAGATTGACAGCGCAAAATTATTTCTATGTTCCAAACTTGGGAGATGTACCGGAGATTGATGTTCCTGTGTACCTGCCTGATCTTCCCGGGATTGCAGATGACCTTTCTTACAAGTACTTCGTTTTGACTTTTGCTTACTTTTGCATGTATTTATTAATTTCGGTAGTTAGGTATTTAGTTAGTCAATTTTTTGTTTATTGGCAGATACCAGGTTGACAATAAAGTGTATACAGTAAATGGTTTGAACCCGGGGGTAACATGTGGAGGTGTAGTCTGATCGTCCGGGTGAGTGTAGTCCTGAGAAGGACTGTTGTCGGTGGCAGTGACTGACGTTTCGACAACCTGTGCGGAAGTCATCATCAGAGTCAAGTGAGTGATTGTTGTCAGTAGAATGTTCTTATTCCAGTTCGTGTGAAATGATCGGTTGGTTTTGCCGTGATGTTATTGGCTGTAAGACTCAAGTGACGTAAGTCGTTCGTGATTGGTCTGTTTCGGTCTGTCGGTAAAGCTAGGTTGTTCTTTTTCGGTCGTTTGTGATGTTTATGTCGTGAATGAGTCGTTTGTATGGGGCGGGTAGTTGTTGACATCTGTTTAGGGGAGTCTGTTCTAAGTTAGTAAACCAGCTTTCCAGAGTCAGTCGTTGAAAATAGTCAGTGCTGTAGGTTAGGCATTGCGCAGAGTCCCAGTCAATGTTGTGGTTGGTAAGTCGATGGTGTTCAGCAATGTGATTGCTGACATCACCTTTCCTCGTCGCCCGTCTGTGTTCAGTCAGTCTTGTTGTGAGGTTTCTGCCAGTCTCACCGATGTAGGAGGCTTGGCAGTCGGAACAATTGATCTTATAAATCGTTCCCTGTCTGTTCCTCGGTTCGTCTTTGTCTTTAACGTTGGTTAGTAACTGACGTAGTGTGGTGATGGGTTTGTGGGCGACGCGGATATTGAAGGGTAGTAAGATGCGCGAGATGTTTTCAGACATGCCTTTTATGTACGGTATGGTTGCTGTAGTCGTAGGGGTTGCGGTGTCGTTTGTTTCGGTAGTGGTAGTGGGTCGGTGAGTGTTTCGTCGGATGAAGTCGTTGTTGTAGTTGTTCTTCGTAAAAACACGGTGAAGGTATTTGTTCTCGTCGGATAAGCTGTCTGTCGAGTCACATACTAGTTGTGCGCGTCGTGTTAGAGTTCTGATAGTTGTGGCTTTGTGTGATGTAGGGTTGTAGGATGACTCGTCTAGTAATCTGTCGGTGTGTGTCGGTTTCCTGTAAACTGTCGTTCGTAATGAGTTGTCGTTGTGGCTTACCAGGCAGTCTAGAAAAGGAAGTTTGCCATTTTCTTCGACTTCTCTGGTAAACTGTATGTCAGTGTTTTGTTCGTTAAGGTGGTTGTGGAATGCGTCAATTTCGTCGTGTCGAACGGCGGTGAATGTGTCGTCAACGTAACGTAACCAAAGCGGTATCGTTTGTCGGCAAGTCGAAAGGGCGCGTTCCTCGATGTTCTGCATCGAGAAGCAGCACCACCTCCTCCTCCTCCTCCTCCTCCCCCCCCAGTAGATGAGTCTCAAGGAGGTAGGTTAAAAACTAAGGGTCAAACCTGTATTTACAAAGCTTTTGTACACATACATATAAGTATGCAAATTCTCTTAACTGTTCTCCATACATCTGCTATGGTGTGAAAAAGGAGACTTTGTTACAAAATCAAGAGCTTCTTTAGTTCGTGATCATTTCCTCTATTTTTATGACTGTAATGTGCGATTGAGCCGTGATGCTGTCAGGAGAAACTAGATGTAAGGCATTGTTTTGGGTTTAACACTCTTAGGGACCCTCACCAGTATCTGCTTAATGCATGCCGTCTTCTTACCAGAGATTTGAACCAAGTTTAAATGTGCAACTGTCCTTGAGCCAAATGACAAAAAGAAAGAAAGGAGTAATGTTATTTTTGGCAGAGACCCTTGCAGGGAAATAAAAAATTCTTCTTTTCCTCATTTGACTCCACATAACATATAAAGTAGGTTGAAGGTATGCAATTGATGTTGATTGTATGATCAATTTTTTACACTATCTGAATTTAGGCCGGTGGTTTACTGGTTCTTGTGGCTGATTTTCATCACTGTTTTCATCTGTGGCTGTTTATTTGTGTCTTTTTCCTTAATGTTCATCACCTTCATGTCCACTTGCAGAGTGTTTTTCAAACATTGTTTACTGGGAGAATCATTTAGATGTGTGTGGATTTATCAAGTAACAACTGTGAGCATAAGTTAGACATTTTCCCATGTGCTCAGTAAGGGTCCTCCAATAGAGATGACAAACCATTTTTTTTCTCTGTTTCCAGCGTACACATTGCAGCTCTTCCCACTGATGTCCCTGCAGCAGTTGCCTCGGATGGAAGGGCCTCTTTGATGGAATCCATTCGCAAAGCAGGTGGCAAGGGCAATGCTAAATTACGTAACGTCAAGGAGAGGAAACTGAAGAAGAAAGCGGAGAAAGAGCAGTCAGCTGTCAGTGGGGGGGGAGGAGGCGATCTCATGGGTGATCTGTTTGCCAAGTTGTCCATGCGTCGAAAGGGTATCTCTGGTTCTAAAGGTGAATCCGGTGGATCATCTGAAGCATCCACAGGTGGAGGCTCTGCAATGGACAGAATCTCAGCAATGATTCCAGCTCCTCCCAAGAGTGATCACATAGATTCTTTGCATTCAGGGGGAAGTGATGATTGGGATTAATCAGTCAGTAATTATCATTATTAGCCTGATGATAATTATCTTGCATACCCTCTCAATCTGATTGCACTCTATGTCCTTTAGATTTTAAACTGAAAATAACAAATACTGCAAGAAGAGGATTTTTGCAAGAGAGCAGCTAGAATTTAGAGTGATTTTCTTTAATTTTTTTATGGTGTAGTGTCATATCACAGACTAGAAATTAAACTTTTTCAATTTGATCCTTGTAAAAAGCAAAATTTTAACTGTTGCTTAAATGATAATGAAGTATGAGGTGAGGATAGATTGTTCCTGCTAACAGAGACTAACAAAATACAGGTTGTTTAAGAAACAGCTGCTTCCTGTTTTTCTTCACCTGGCATGAGCAATTTTGGGCAAACATGTTTTTCACTCATGGCTAATGAAAAATTGACGGGTACAGGCTAAATGAAAAGAGAAGACTTCCTCGGGTCATTCTCAAGTATTGCGCTGCAAATTATTCTATGAGAAATAAGCATGCACTAATAAGTGACTCCTCCTTCTAGTGGCTAGGGTTTGTCCAAGAAGCAACTTTTTTTTTCTTGCAGTCAGTAACCCACCTCTTACAGCTGTACATATTAAATTAAGCAAAGTTCCTTCTGTGAAATTAAGAGTGCAGAATTATTCCCAGGGCAATTGGTTCTATCAACTAAGTTGAAAATATAAATTGGCCACCATAACGAATAAAAAAGCTGACGTTTCGAGCGTTAGCCCTTCGTCAGAGGGAATAAATAAAATGGTTAACTGTTCAATGCAGTCTGACCAGAGTCCCTTACAAAGTGTTGTAAAGAGCCAGGAGCTAAAGGACATGGCACTATAGAAATTCTCATTATTATTGTGTTGTATGCTCTGATGCAGTGTGGGGTTATGATAAATTCATAAAGAGAATTCTAGTAGTAATCTGTAACAAGCTGTTTCTCCATACTAGAAACAGTTTTGTAGTTACCTCATTTTGTAATTTAGTTTTCAAGGCTTGCAACATGTTTGAGACTGCTCTGTCAAATACAAAACAAAACATCCCAACTGAAAACTGCGTATGAACATAAGATATTACTCTGAAGAAATACTTTCTCATACAGAGTGACCCTTTTAGTTCAAGACAAGCCAACTGCTGTGTATGTCTGCCCAAGAATTTCTGGTGAGATCAATTCCTCTATCTCTAGAATTAAGATAGACTTGCACTTCCAAACATATTTCACTGTATAATGGAAATTGCAGGAAATGTTTATTAATTGATTTGAGCTCATTGCATCAAACCAGCAGGTGCTGTTATAGGTGCAATGTTTAAATTCAACATCCTGTGCATAACTAAAAAGTGAAACATGGTAATTTTGCAAAATAACCACTCAAGTGAACTAAAAAATTTATCAACCTCAACATGAACTGTTGACATTCATCAAATTAGTTTAGTTTTGCAGGAAAGGATAAATTTGACCTTTGAAAAATATCGAGGAGAATTTGAGGGTAGTTACTTTTCTTCCTTTAACCATTAAAACACTTTCAGCAATGTTTTCACGTCTACTTGACACTAACCGAAAACATACTTTGGATAAAGAGTAATGAACAAAGTTATCTCGTCTTAGGTTGCCTAATAATTAACAAAGATTTAGGTAAAAACGCCGTATCGGACAAGTATTTGATGTAAATGTGTAAAACTACTTCCAAAAGTCCATGTTAACTTTCAAATCACTAGAACTGACGGCGGAGGAAAAAACAGGACACTTGGTTAACACCTCTGCATGGAAGAAATGATGGAGGACGTTCTGCACTATTCAAGTCTAGACAAATCACATCGCCATTGTTCTGTTGTAATAATTTCAGAGCATCTGAGAAAACTAAAACTGACCTGAATAACTTTGAAATTAAAACAGATGTACAGCTAGATTTGCGGAAATTTCCATTGTTCTGCTTAAATTGAAAGAATTTCTTAATTCCTACAAACACTAACCGGTGGTAAACGACAATGTATACAACGCGACTGACTGTGCGCTGCATATGTGATCAAACGTTCGAGATTGCAAATACACAATCATCAATTCGAAGCATACCTCATCTGCAATATTTGAGACAAGATTTACCAAATCTTTGGCGCTTTTACAAACGTAAATGACTGCGATCGCTCTACTAAACATGTTTCAATGTCTTAAGACATTCATGCAGCAGGCACGCGGATGAAGATTAGGCACAAACATTCAACAATAGCATATCAACACTACTTTACCAAAAGACATCGCAGTAAAAACCACACGTCCACATTCTGTGATCAATCTGTATTTATTAGGTTGTGATGTTACACCAATTCATCAAAAGCAGAGATCTACATTATTTTTTCTTTAAACGTCCACAATCAGTTAAAACAGTTCCATTTGGATAATGGTTAACGGGAGGCGACAAGTCCATGATGAGTCGGAATGCCATGAGACATAAGTGCTGCATTGACCGAAGGGTCCTTGTAGGCACCAGTGGTGGAAAACAGGCTTCTGAGAACGTTGAGCTCTTTAGTGAGAAAATCCACCTTGGATTGTAGGCGGGCATTCTCCTCTTGTAGCTCGTCAACTTTGTGCTGGGTCTCCACATACTTCTGCTTGCTCTTAAATCTGCTTTTGCGGACCGCAATGTTGTTACGCTCTCGTTTCAAGCGATATTCGTCGCTTCCTTTCTCAGCCGCTTTCTTCGAAGACGACGAACCACGACGGGATTTCGGCGCCTTGAGTTGCGAAGCGATGGAAGGCAGCCTGTTCGACTTCTGCTCAGGTACTTTCGCCAGGTTAGTTGATTTATACGTCACAGCCGGTTTAAGGGAATTTACTTTGGAATTTACTTTTACAACCTTAACAGGAGAGTAACCCTGTTCTACTTCGGGTAAATATGGCTCTACTACTTCTCTTCGCTTGGGCTCTTTGGGTGCTAAATACTTGCTCAAATCTTCGGGACTGGTACTCAAGGTGGCAGGATCCAGGTAAGAGGCAAAGTCGATCGCGATGTCATTCAGATACGAGCAACTCTCATCCAGATCTGAAGCAGAGCTCACATCCACATCTTCAAACAGCTCAGAGCACGGTGAATTCGCGGCTGACCATTCGCCTGACTCATACAGATCGAGAACATCCATAGGAGCGCATGATGAATATCCGCAAGATTCTGGCTCTTGCTTCAGGTCCAGTCCGTCAAAGATGGGGAGGGGGAAATCTAGTTCCTTTAAGGGAGGTATTTTGGCGACTTGTCCGGTAAAATTCTTAAAAAAATGGTCGGGTTTTTACACCCTTAACGTTTTCGACGACGCTTCCGAATCTTTGCGTTGGGAAGAGGACCGATAGGGGGCAGACAGCGCATTTTAGGGCGGCCTTGAAAGACTCTTTTCCAAATTTAGACATAATAACAATTGCGCTCCTCTGATTGGCTCGTGTCAAACGTAGTTGCTATTGGGAACTTGCCCCGGAAGAGCTTCGACGCGGGGGAGTTGGTATTTCGAAATCTGCATGTGATTATGATGTCAGCATCTAATCGGAAGAGTTCGTAATTTCACAGAAAGTAATTTCCATTTTTAACCCCTCTTACGTCTGATCTCGGTGCTTCGGTAACTTAACTCGCCGAGTGAGAATAATTTGAGAAGACTCTTGAGAAAGGGGCGTTCCCAATGATCTGGACAATACCGAAAAATGCTCCCCCCGGGATTCCGGTAGGAATTTCTTCAGGCATCACTCACGCAAAATGTAATTCACAGACCAGGTGCGTGTCGGATAGTTGACTTCTGCTCTTCCTGTACGCAATCCACCATGACCGAGAATTTTCAAAGGTCATCAGCTACAACTACTTCCATAAGAAAATCTTGATAACGCTGATGTGTGACGATGTGTTTCGCTTGGGGGCTACATGAAATAGCGCTGACTCCAAGTTTCTTGGGCTAAGAAATACATATACATTTTTTTTGTATGATTTGATGGTCTCTCCGCCAAACCTATGGAACACCTGTCTTCGAAGAGGGCTTAATTAGCCCCTAACTGCATTACAAATATAATGCGTTTCGCAATGAGGGTCTAAAGACTTCACTTGAAACAGACACAATTATTCGTGTCCATTGTCGTTATTTGGCGCTTTAATGTGGAGGGCAGACAGTCTGCTCGAGACTAACTCTTCTTATCAGAAATAAAGTATGCATGAAAATGAAAATGAGGGTGCATTAGTGTTGGAATAGGTCTCGACGTCTTATTCGGAGAAGAGCTGGTTAGGCTGATAATCAATAATGATTAATATTGACCAGCCAGATAAAGATCGCGTCAAATCAGGTTTTCTGTCTGTCTTTACTCAAAATAAACCACCTTGTCACCCGCGGAGGGCCCACATTGCGCTTGCGTGGACTCAGTTCGTTGTTGCCTTGATAGTGGACGTTTGTCTTACGATATTATCCTGTTGCAAAACTGGGTCGTTTTTTATTGTACCATGTCTGTTAACTCGCCTTCTGGCTCTACTATAGGAGACAAAAGAAATATATACGCCCGAAACGCAGCACTGACAAAATTGACATAATTGACTCCCGCCACAAACACCGACCTGTCGAGCGCTCAGTAATAGCGTTTCCTGTCTGTCACTACAACACAATTACACCTAATTTCTGTCACTACCAGGTCTATTTGGTGATACTGGTTGATATCGCTTTTCCACTTTACTTTCTTTATTTTCTTCTTTTATTATTATTTTTTTTTGGTTTGTAAAATCACTCGATTGTCTTCAACAGCTCAGGCAGTGACATTTGCCAGATCTAGGACTCACGGAATCGGGGCTAAGAGCTAACTTGTTCCAGAAGCTCAGTTATTTTAAAAAGAGAGCGAAATACAGCTTCAGCGCGAAAGTAGCGGTGAAGTGCAATCCTCCGGCGCGGCCTCCTCCGACCGTCCCTCCCTCGGATCCCCCACCTATCCCCCGGTAGAGGACCGGTAGAGTTATTTTCCCATCAAACATCTGATTGGTTCACTGCTCTCTATTACCCGTACTCGAACAACATGAGCTTGAACCTAATCTGATTGTAGTCTGAAGTTGAGCTACACCGCAATACAAGGTTATTACTATACGTTGTATAAGTTACAAAAAGAGTAAATTAGAATAATTCATAAATCTACTTTTGCGCTCTTAGGTTTCGCGGGGTTTTGTAACCGAAGTTGGGCGAGGAATCTTGGAAGGCGTGCCGTGTTTACGATTGCGCTCTGCCCTCGAAGCAATTTGTAGTGCAGTACCAGTTGTAGGGTTAGGAACAGAAAATGCCTTCGTCAGTCAGTGAAGAGATTGTCTTCTTTGTCAATGGCAAAAAGGTACGCCATGCTTGTATGGACTGCAATAAGATCGACGATTTTGACTGCAAATACACGCACGTCACACACTTGATCTGGTGAATCTCGTATCTACGTACAAGTGTATTCTAATTTTAATCATTTTGAATTTATCGCAGGTTGTCGAAGCAAAGGCACAGCCAGAAATGTCTTTACTCTGTTATCTGCGAAATCATCGTATCCTTTCATTACCATGCAATTCTTCGATCCCTGTTTTGGGATCTCAGATGTTGACTACGAAGCGTTGTTAGGGTCAAAATTAGAAAACAGATTGTTATGGTGTTTGATATTTCATTTGGCCGAACTACAGAATTATGTTCCAGCGTTGCATGGAATTATGTTCGGCTCTTTTAAATTGAATAATTGTGATACGATTTTTGTTTTTACCTAGCTCTGAATTATATTCGGACGCTGCCGAATTATGTTTTGATTGTCTAAATTATATTTTTCATTTTCGACTTTTATCCTCTCTGCCGCCGAATTTTGATTTTTGATATTTACATTCGGCCAGACTACAGAATTATGTTCTAGCGTTGCTTGGAATTATGTTCGACTCTTTTAAGGTCCGGTAATGCGGGCAACATTTTTCTTCAACTTGTCTTGCAACATTGTTGCACTGCAAGTTGAAACTTTATGTTGCGCGCATTACCACGTTCGTGACCAACTTGTCTCGCAACAAAATATAGTGTTGCAAGTTGAGGCAACGTGTTGCGCAAAGTAGACTCGAGTTCTACTTTCTGCAACAAATTTTAGTTTTGCTTCAACTTGCCTTGCAACAAATTTGAATTCGACGCCTGTGATTGGCTGTCGCAAAGCGTTTCAACTTGCAATGCAACAATGTTGCAAGACAAGTTGAAGAAAAATGTTGCCCGTATTACCGGACCTTAAATTATATTTTCCATTTTCGATTTTTATCCTCCCTGCGGCCGAATTTTTTACATTAATCCAGTCCATCAACAGAACATAATTCAGAGAAGATCGAAAACATATTGGAAAACATAATTTAGCAGGTCATATCGAACAACAGAATGTAAAAATTCGGCGGCTCGGGGAGGATAAAAGTCGAAAATGGAAAATATAACTTAGACAATTAAAAATTTATTCGGCAGCTTCCGAATACAATTGAGAGCTACGTAATAACAGAAATAGTATCACAATTATTGAAATTAAAAAAGTCGAACATAATTCCATGCAACGCTGGAACACAATTCTGTAGTTCGGCCGAATGTAAATATCAAAAATAAAAACTCGGCGGCAGGGAGGATAAAAGTCGAAAATAAAAAATATAATTTAGACAATCAAAACATAATTCGGCAGCGTCTGAATATAATTCAGAGCTACGTAATAACAAAAATCGTATCACAATTATTCATTTTAAAAGAGCCGAACATAATTCCATGCAACGCTAGAACATAATTCTGTAGTTCGAACGATCAGCCAAATGAAATATCAAACACCATAACATAATCTGTTTTCTAATTTTGACCCTAATAACGCTTCATAGTTGACGGACGCTCGATCTGCAAAAACATTGGCAAGCCATCAGGGCAATTTCTCGGTTCAATGATTTAAGACCGTTTGTTTACAACTTTCTGATCTTAAATCCGTAGTTGTGTATTTGTAAAAGCTTTGCGAGTCTTGAACTAACAGGTCACGCCTTCCGGACCGAAAGGTTATCAAAGGTTGTCGTGTGACCTATAACGATCAGCAAACTAGCTATTTCTGGTGAAAAAAAGAACGTTTATTGTTTCCCTTTAGGCCATCTTATGTTCTGAAAATCGGCACAGGACCGAATTCTAAATAGCAAATTTACATTTCACTCTTGGATCTGTTTAAATGCATAGAACGCACATGTGTTCGAAGGAGTTGACAGTGGCTACACCTGTGTACTTTTCGCTCGAATAATGTATAAACAAATCATGATCAAAGGTTAAAGAATTTATATTTGCATGCTGATTCAATCAAATCATGCATTATTATGAAGAGTGACATGACTTTCAGACTTTTGTTTTGTCCTGATTCCCTTTTTTCTCTATGAATTAATTCCAATTATTCACCGTTGCGTTGGAGAAGTGTGGTTTACATTAACAATGACAAATAATTAATCATTGTCTGGATATACTTACCCCACAGCAAGATTTTTATATCAAATTAGTTAACTTTGCAGCATAAAGTGATTCTTATTTGCCCAATCAAAATTAAAACTCCTCTTTCAATATCTTGCCAATTTGTATTCTTTCTGGATGTTTTTGTCAAAGGATCTCTGAGGAAATCAATTTTTTCAAGTTTTTTTTTTCTCCTCAGGCAAGGGTGTTTCAAAACATTTAGTGTCGTGTTTATTCTTTTACTCCCATGGCACCAGTGTATGGAATTATCATTTTCAGCCTAGAATATGAATGTGGATTAATATAATACTTATCTTTCAATGTAGTGGAAACAATATTGTATTGTTATGTTACTTGACAGTTGCCTTTTTTAATGGTTTAATGTTTTATTTCCTCTTCTGTAATTTTCTTTCTCTTTGGCTGCATCAAGGAGAATGATACTTGATCATATCGAACAACAGAATTAAATTTTTCTTCTATCACATTTTTGACAAAATGTGAGGCAGCAATTTTGTAATATAATGTCCCCACTATAATCACCTTGCACAAGGTAACTGTAATTTTTCAAATTTCTTATATTTCACACTATAAATGACATTTACAGGGTTTATATTAGCGGGGCTCCCACGTGCACTTTACACGCGTGGGGCTGAGCCCCATACCCATGGAATATGGTCAACCTCTTTTCGTTTGGTTGTCACATGACTGACCGAGTGTACGTACGTACATAAGTGCCTTCAGATTGCACTGGTAGGGTAGGGGAGACTATCAAAATGAAGGGAGGGGTGTCTCAGGCAAGTCTTGGCAAATGCACATCTTTTATGTTATCATTAATATTATGAACTTGGAGCTCCGCTTTTAGGCTTGGTTAAATCTATATATTAAATATAAGAGAAAGAGAAAAAAATATTAAGGTAATATTTGGCCACAAAAATAAGGTTGAGATGTGCATAATGTCCAAGGTACCAGGTTGGACACCATAATGGTCATTTAGGTATAAGAATGACCCAATGCTAAAGCCGTCAGAGTGCAGGAGTCTCTATAATCACCTGAGAAATGATACTAAAACACTGCTAATGGTATTTTTGAGGGTATAAGTGAAGACATATGTTACATTTCTTACAAAGGTAATCAGTGGGTTTGACAGGTAGCAAGCTTGGATGTGGAGAAGGTGGTTGTGGAGCTTGTACTGTTATGATTTCCAAGTATGATCATGGAAGTAAGAAGATAAAGTATCCTTTTTGAAATTTGGGATCCTATATCAGTAGAAGAACTTAATTAAAGGATAGGATGGTTATTTGGTGCATCAAAGGGGTGGGTCCAACTGGTATCCAGACCCCCTCCTATTAGACCTATGAGTTTTTCTATCATTACTCGCCAGAGACCAAAATTGTTAGAACAACCGGTCTTTTCAATTGATAAAAAAAGAAAATAGTTTCTGTTGTCAGAGTCAGAGTTTGGCCCCTTCTCCTGGATCTGCTCCTTGGTTAACTCCTCTGTTTTGATTTCAAGTTGATTGGTCCTGCCTTAGGAGGATTAGCTGTACACCAGGGAAGAACATCAATTAAGAATCTAAAGCAGCCAGGATCATTGTCACAGGTTTCAAGTAATGTCAACTTTATGCCCTCTATCCTTGACATTTATCAGACACTTCTCTGCAAATGGCTGTTTGATGCCATTGTGTGCTGTTGATGGAATGGCTGTAACCACGGTGGAAGGTATTGGAAGCACCAAAACTGTCTTGCATCCCGTACAGGTAATTAATTTACTTACAAACATCGCACCTGTGTAATGACTGCTACACTTCAAACAGATGTGTAAGAACAAATATTATGTTTAATTATAGGATATATTAAGTTTTCAAAACCCAACTATGATTGGAGTGCAAACTTTTTGAACATCAAGGTTACTGTCAATAAAATAGGGTGCCCTTCAGGCCCTCCAGACCCTCCAGACCCTTCAGAAAGATTGTCTGACGCGCCCTACTTAAAAAGAAACCATATTTCACTGTAAAGCCTATTAAGTATAGATTCTAAAAATAACAAAAGTTTTGACCATTTTTCTCTTGGTAGGCTCATGCAAGCCTTTAAAACAAAATTAATGGTGCTTGTTTCACTGAATTACATGGTCTTTATCACTTAGCAAAAAAATATTAGGCTAAAAAAGGGTGTGAGGCTTTTTTTGATATTCCTATTGGTTCCCAAGAAAATCAGTTTTGAATTTGGACATAAGAAAATAGTTTAGTTGTTTTCACAGGAAAAATATTTCAAATTTTGTGAAAGCCCCACACCCTTTTGTGGATCATTCCGCTCAGGTTGTCAAAAGGTCAGTCACCCTAACCAATAACTGTCCTTTTCAGGACTACGCTCACCCGGATGATCAGGCTTCACTATCACACCTTACTCCTGGGTTCAAACCATTTAATGTAAAAGTTTTAAACAGATTTTTTTTTGTCATCTATTCTTATTCAAAGGAGCGAATTGCCAAGTGTCATGGGTCACAGTGTGGATTTTGTACACCAGGGATTGTGATGTCGATGTATGCACTTTTAAGAAACAACCCTTTGCCAACTCATAAAGAGATGGAGAGTGCCTTTGAAGGTACAGAGGGAGAAATAGAAAGTCAATCTTATTTATCTCATATTACATAAATGTAGAGGGGAACATGCATTCATGTAAAAAGTGACCTTTGCAGTGGTCTTTCTGCATGCAGCTGGCCAGAGTTCTGAAGTCTTAACTGATTCACAGTTGCTTTTTGAAGGTCATGCTCTATTACAGGGCTCGTACAGGTAATGGAAAACCTGGAAAGTCATGGAATTTCAAAATTTCATTTTCCAGGCCTGGAAAGTCATGAAATTTAGGGGTGGGTCATGGAAAGTCATGGAAAATCAATATGCTCTCTATGAGTGAAAGACAATAAGACCCAAAGTTGAAAAGTTAACTGACGAGTCCAAAAATCAGATTTAATTTCATTCAAAACAAACAGAAGCACGCATTGTGAGAATGTTTGCAAACAGGTCATGGAATCTTTCAAAAGATCATGGAAAGTCATGGAAAGTCGTGGAATTTTAACAGGTCAAAAGTGTACGAACCCTGTATTAGGTAGATTACCTCTCTGAAATGCTTTTGTTGAACCAGAAAACAATTTGAATAACCTTTTAATTGGTTTCTCTACCTAATGAAGATAAAAATGTGAATGTTTTCCTCTAATTTTTATTTGAAACACAGTAGTAAGTAAATAGCTGGGTGTTTATTCTTCAAATTGTCATGAAAACAAGTAGAAGTAACAAAAATGTCATCAATGTTTTTGGCAGAGGGTTTGCAGATACCTCTCTTAAAATGAATAACTTCTTACTTGAACCATGCACGTTTTGCCGTATAGTAATTAAGTTGCTTAGATGTCATATCTATCAATATCAATTACTCCTCAGGTAATTTATGTCGCTGTACAGGTTATCGTCCAATTTTGGAAGGACTCAAAACCTTCACTCAGGTAATGTTTGGATTTTAACCCATTGAACTGGATCTTGCAAACTTCAATGTAGCTAGATTTACTTTTAATTTCTGTGTGGTATGAAACTTTTAGCATCGTTCGCTGTTCTAACTCAATTCTATATTTTTAATTATTAATTCCAATCTTCTTTGTGAAAGGAATGTTGTGGTAAAGGCATGAATGGGTGCTGCTCTAAGATGGACCAAAATGGAACCACCAATGGTACAGCACAGAATGGAGTTTTAAATGTGGGTTGAGATTGTCTTTGCATTTTCTTAAGTTAATTTTCTTTTCATAAGGGTTAATGATGGTAGAACCTCCACCAGATCTCTTTTTTTAATAAAAAAATTAATTGCTAAAATTTATATTCTTACAGGGCTGCAAGGAGTTGTTCAAGGCTACAGAGTTTACACCATATGACCCAACTCAGGAGGCCATCTTCCCACCTGAGCTGATGGTGAGTTTGTTCATTCTCAGCTGAACAGTTGCAGTTGAAATGTTAGAGTCGTGTTTGGAAACACAAAGCAATCAAATAAATTAAAGTAGAAATGCTGCTACTGGAAACAGAATACTTTCATGTTACCCTGCTGCTCATTATCTAATATTGAGTAGATTGTTGGAGTTGTAGACTTTTTAGTTCTTTAATTAACCAAGCGGGAGGTCTGTATGGGAGAATCTTGACCAAGGTTGCCAGTACAGACCGAACGCACCAGCGACCGAGGTCAAGATTCTCCCATACAGACCGACCTAGCTCAGTTAATAAGATGTTTATTATATGGCTGTGTCTTATATGCCAATTTTTTATATTCTTTGTACCTTTTTTTTCTAGACTGGTCTAGATGCCAGTCTAGATGGGAAAATCTAGACCACTTTCAATACTGATTTCAGCCATTCAAATTCATTAATTTGGTAGTTCCCAGTCCTTGTGAGACACAGCCATATACCATATAATAAAATGAAATTATATTAATCCTTTAAGTCCCAAGATCTGATTGTTAATTCTCCTTTTAAGCTGATATATATTTCCTTGTAAATAAGTTAGGGGAATTAAGTGTTAGATCAAGGTAACAACTTTTACCAGATAAGTTTGAGTATTTTCATTAACTGTTTTGTGGATGATCTATGGACATTATAGGGAGAAGTTACATGTTAATCACTTGTGAGAGTTAAATGGTTAATAGTTTTTACTGGAGCAAAGCTTTAGCATCATTCATGGGAGAAAACGGGAATGTTGTCATATTTCCTATATAATTAACCACCAGTTTCACCCAAGAATATACATGTAACTTGGCCATGTAGCTACCTGGCTCCGCTAGCCCCTATGGTTACTCCAGGCTGCTAGTACTCCAATTTTATTTCTAATTATAATCTCTTTCAATTTTGTAACTTTTTCGCTTAAGCAAGTATGATTGCAAGTACAATAAAGATTATCCGTTTCCATGACTCCATTTTTTGGATTTTCAATAAGTCTTTGCTCCCAAGATCTCATTAGTGATTCTCTAACTGTCTGTCATACAGTTCTTGTGATGTTAGTTGGAAGAATTTTGTATTGGATCATCCTAAAATCACCTAATTGAAATTTGCTTGTATCTCTTGTCTGCTTGGTATTTTATTGATATTGTAAGGAGAAATTCTGCCTTGGTCACTCAGTCACTTGTGAAGGTTTAAGGGTTAAGTAATCTAAGATTCTGATTAGACTCAGATTTGCTCCTATCCCC